GCAAGTGCAAGGACCCGAGTCTGATCCCCGGTACCAAAAAAAAAAAAAATATCCATCAGTGCAAACACAAGGTCCTGAGTTCGATCCCTGGTACCAAAAAAGCAAAAACAAAAACAAAAAAACGCCCCCATCAAAACAGAGTAAAAAGAAATAAAGGCCTAAGTAGTCTCATGACTTTCAAATGGGTTTAAAAAATAGAGTCAATGGTTGAAAAATTCTCTCCCTTTATTCCTACAAACTTAAAGCAAATTTTAAATTTTCTAGGAATGAATCAAATCAAATTCACACAAACTCATTCAGGAAACAGTAAAAGACAGAACATGCCCCATTTAGTTATTTGAGGCTGGGAAAGCACTGATTGTCAGAATCATACAAGGACATTATGTGAAAAGAAAATTACCAATAAATCACAGATGAACATAAAAGCAAAAACCTTACTGACAAATAAGGTTTTGGCAAATAACCTTATTGCCAAAAACATTATTGGTAAAGCAAATATTGGAGCACATAATGATAGTAAATCATTACCAAGTTATTTTGGTACCATGAGTAATTAAGTAGAAAAAAATCCATTGATGTAATTCAGTATATTAATGGATGTAGAGAAAAGCGGCATATGAAACTCAACATATACTTAGGATTACAAAGAAAAACAATCTTTCTTAACCTCGTGAACCATACCTACCAAATAGCTACAGTTAACTACAGTGGTGAAATTCTGGAAACATTTTCTTCAAAATTAAGAACAAGACAAAAATGCCCTTTGCTACTGCTTATATTTTAAGCCATATTCGAGGTCCTAATCAGTACAATAAAGCAAGGAAAAGAAATAAAATATAAAAGGGCTGGAGAGTTAAAACAGTAGTTTGCATAAGAAAAATTGAAACAAAGCAAATATAAAGACAAAGTTCACAGGCAAAACTCAGTTGGATTTCTCTATACTATCAACAAAGTTAGAAAACATACCAAAAGATATAACATAATAGCAATAAAATATAAATGTCGTGGCTCATTCCTTTGTCTCTTTCTTTCCTCAAACTCCATTTTCCCAATTGGGCCTATTGCAGTCTATTTAAAATTACACCAATTAGCCAGGCATGGTGGTGCATGCCTGTAATTCCAGCACTCCGGAGGCTGAGGCAGGAGCACAACTTTCAAGTTTGAGGCCAATGTGGGCTACATAGTAAGACATTGTCTCAAATAAATAAATAAAAAATAAATAAATAAAATTGCATCACTTCCTCCAAAGCCTGATTACTCCTTTTCATCTCTCTTTTTTTTTTGGTACAGGGGATCGAACTCCGGTCCTTATGCTTGTGCAGCAGGTGGTGAAACCACTGAGCTAAATCCCCGGCCCTATTACTCCTTTTTCTCTATTTTTCCATTTATTGCTTTTTAACAGACTTCTAGCTATTGTTATTGCCTGACTCCTCTGTCTTCTGCCTCCATGACAGTAACTACCTTGCCCTGCTTTGCTTACTCTTTTATGCCTAAGCCTACAATCTGGTACAGGTACTATATACCTAATGCTTGGTATATAGTAGCTTTTCAACAAATGATACCTCTTTTTAATGCCTTTCAGTAAAGCTGTATAATTTTTCAATTAAGGTCACATACAATTATTGTTTTCACTCATTCACTTGTTCAATAAATATCTGAGTGAAAATAATAATTGTATGTGAAAAAATTATTTAACTTTATTGAAAGGTATTTAAAAAGACTCAGTATCATGAAGATGTAATTCTCCTTCAACTTCATATGTACAAGTTCATTGTAAAATTACTCAAAACTCTAAGACGGGTGTTTGTGTGAAACTTTATAAGTGAAATCTAAAATTTATATGAAAATACAAAGGGCCAAATTATCTAAGATGTTCCTGAAGGATGTTCAAGTAAAGTAGGGAACTTGCCCTGTACACTTTTCCTACATTATTATTATAAAGTTATAGTGATTAAGGGCTGGGGATGTAGCTCAGTGGCACTGTGCCTGCCTGGCAAGTGCAAGTCCTGAGTTTGATCCATGGTACCGCAAAAACAACAACAACAACAACAACAACAACAACAAAAACATCTTATGCCAGGTGTGGTGGCACTTGCCGTGAGTTTGAGGCCAGCCTGGGCTACACAGTGAGTTCAAGGCTAGCCTGAACTAATAGTGAGAACTTGTCTCAAAAAACTGAAAAAAAAAAAAAGTTATAGTGATTAAAACAATACTAGCACAGGGATTATCAAATTGATCAAAGGAATAAAAAAGAGAGCCTAGAAACAGACCCACAAATAGAAGGAAACCTGATTTAGAACCTAGCTCATACTACAACTCAGTGGGAAAGACTAAGCTATTTCATAAACAGTACTAGAATAATTAGTGATTCACACATAGAAAATAATTACATTGATTTCATAATTCACAGCATACATTCAAATTAGTTCTACATAGACTACAGATTTAAATGTGAAATGGAAAAATGCTTGGAAGAAAATGTAAAAGGGTATCTTCATGAGCCAGTAGAGGAAAAGATTTGTTAAATAAAACAGAGTAAAGACCATAAGGAAAATAGTGATAAATTCAATTGCATTAGAATATGTGGAATATGCTATCCTGAGAAAGGATCAGTGTCTAGAATTCTGAAGGATCACTAAAATCAATATGAAAAACCCAAACTTAAAAAAGAAAAATGAAGTTGAGGGTGGTGACGTTTGCCTATAATCTGAACACTCTGGGAAGCTGAACATTCTTGTTTTGTGTTCTAATTTGAAAAGGTTTGTTTAAAATATAAACTATGATGGATTTGCCAGATCAGAGTGTGAACATGATCAATTTTACAAGTTAATGTCAAACTGTTTTCCAAGATGGTTGTGTTGAGTAACACTCCCACCCTTGTGTTCCTATTGGTCCGCACTCTCACCAACAGCTGATAGTGTCAAACTTATTGTTTACCAATCTGGTGAGTGTACAGGGAATTTTGTGATTGACTTAGTTTCCTTTTTCCTGATTACTGATGATATTGAAAATCTTTTTATTTATTTAGTGGCATTTGTATTACTTTTGTTTAGTGTATGCTAAAGTCAAGTCTAGGACCTTCACCTTGGACTACATGCCCATCCCACCCTCCTTTTTATTTTTGAAGTGTAATGTCACAAAGGCTTGAACTCAATCCTCCTGCCTCAGCTTCCCAGAGTGTTGAGTTCTTTTCCACATCCACTATGGTTTCCATGTTCATCAAAATAAAAGTGAAAGTTCTTGCAGTGTCCTCAAGCACAGCTCACATACAGCCTACAAGCCCCTGCAAGGTCTAGCCTTACTCTTGCCCCACCCATTACTTCAGACAGCATCTCCATCTGTCCCCTGGATTCCAGCTATCTGGACTGGTTTGCTGATCCTTGAACACACCAGATACACTCATTCAGAGAACATTCTTCCAATAGATACATAAATGGCGTGCTCTTTTTCTTCCTTCAGGTCTTGGCTCAAATGTCTTTTCAGTGAAAGCTTAAATACTCTAACAGTGCAATACCCTATTCCTAGGCACTCCTTGATCTTTCTGATAGCTTCATTTTTCTCCTTCATGCTACCACCATCTAACATGCCATATGTTTTGTTCACTTAGTTAGCTTATGTCTGCCTCCCCTAACCAGACTGTAAGCCCAGGAATACAAGGCTTTATGTCTATTTTGCTCATTGCTTAATCTACAGCATATAGAAGAGACCCTAGGTGGAAGAGATGCTCAAAAATTATTTATAAAAGAAATAAAATACTTAATTGGTCAGAGCATGGGAAACGAGCATTCTAAAAATTGCTGGTATGAATGTAATTGGATTAACCTCTACAGAGGACAAATTGGCAATAACTATCAAAATTACAAGTGCGTATATCCTTTGACTCAGTAATTCTCCTTTTACTAATATCCTTAATATAAATTTACAGATGTGTGAAATGACATATAGACCAAATAATTCACTGCAACATCTTTTAATCCCTAAAAACAGCCCGAATGTGCAGCAATAGCAGATCATTTAAAGAAATTATGATGTATCCATACAATGGAATCTTTTGCAGTAGCAAAAAAGAATAAGGAGATTTCTGTTGGGATATAAGCCAGATATATTTTTCAGAGAAAAGGGTGCTGAAAATGTATTTAGTATGTCATCAATTTTATAAAACTAAGGGGAAAAGTGTAAAAAGAATGTACTGCAGACCTGTATTTTCTCGTACGTGCAAGGACTATTTCAGAGAGGATACACAAAAAAAATGGTAACAACAGTTCCTTACTTGGAGGGGAAAGGATGGGCTGGAAACACAGAGGAAGAGGGTCTCTATAAACCCTTTCAAACATCTTGCAATTTTACATTTTGTGAATGTTTTATCTATTTGTTAAAAGGAGAAAAGGTATGGCTTATGCTCCCATATGGAATGATATTTAAGATATATTGTTGCCAAAAAAAAATAAGGTGCAAAAGTGTACAGTATGCTAGCCATGAGGAAGGCAGGCTGACTTTTCCATATTTATACTTTTCTACCTTTTGAGTTTTTTACTTTATGCATTTCCTACAAAAATAATTTTAAAGAAGAAAATCATGATAAGCTAGTGCATTTTCACATGCGTCATCTTGACAATGCTAGGACTGAAACCTAACAAGTGTTCCCTACTTTTCCAGTGATGGCAACAGACATCGAGAGAAATTAAAATGCACCGAGGTACCAGGGCCAGGCTCTCACCGATAGCCAGTGCCCCTGGACTCTCTGAAGCCTCCCCTGGGTGCTAGTCCACCTTCTCCCTTCCTGCCCCTAACCTTAACCTTACCTCTGGCAACCCTCTGGCCTTCCTGGGCTCCTTTCCCAGGGAGTCAAGGTAGCAGCTTTAGCAGGGGCCCTAGCTCCCTGCCTCCCAAGTCCCAGGCAGCTTCTCTCTGGGCCGCTGTGCTCCTTCCTCAATCCCCCTTGCTCCCAGGATGAACACAGCCTGCCTCCCGGCCTTTCTGGGCCCCTCCCACAGCAGTACCTGTCAATAATGACCGGATCTGAGGGTGTCTCATTCCGGTTGCCACAGCTCTTCCGGTCACAGCACCGGCTGAAGGAAAGATGAAGAGGGAGGGAGGAAGAGGAAGAAGCAATGAAAGGGGAGGTTACCAGGTGTGTGTGGAGGGGGCTGCCCCTGGTGGGGTGCCGATGTCCTGGCTCTGGGTGTGGGATCCCTGGGTGCAGGGATTCACTCCCAGGGTATGGAGGGAGGTGGGCAGAGGGAGAGGCAATGAGAGTCCTGGCAGGGATCTTGACATCCTGGTCCTAGGGGATAAGTCTGGCCAGGAAATCATTGTCCCCAAAGTACATTGCTTCTGGAGGACCTGACAGGGCAGGCAGCAGGTCACCCACAGGGTCTCCTTCTGTGCATTTTATGGAAGCACTGTCTACACAGAGAAAGCTCAAACTGGGAGCATGCATCTCATACGTGTTCCCAAAGTGAATCGATTTGCTTTTGGAATTAGCATCCAGACCAAGAAATATTACAGGACCAGTACCCTAAAAACCACCTCAGGTCACTCCTCTCCTCAAAAGTGGCCATTACCCCAACCACACAGTTTGGAGTACCATTTTCTTTTCCACACAACAGGAACTGTCAAATAGGAGGGCCCTATATAACAGGCATCGCCTGGGGGAGATCTTGCTAGAAATGCAAACTCTGGGATAACAGGGAAGAGGGGACCCGGCCTACCTTGAGGTTCATTCAGGAGGCAGCAGAGTTTCCTCCTTCCTGCCTGGAAGCTAATCCCTGAGGCCTGGGGCTGCCCAACTAGACCCTGCCCCCACTTCCCCAGCGAGCCCTTCCCCCGAGCTTTATTAGCTACTCTTCCAGTGGCAGCAGGAGGCCTCTCTTACAAAAACACGCAGAGAAGCCACATAAACAGGCCTGGTTAATGGGGCCTCAAGGACCCTCTCCTCAGCCAGCACTGTGCCCAAGGGCCTTACCCTCCCCTCTCCAAGTTTCCTCTGAGATCAGGGGTGCTGTGAAGGGCGTGGCAGGGGAAGGAGGCAGGGCCTGACAGGAGGCCTTGGCAACATCTTGGCAAAGGGACAAGGTGCAGGAAACGCAGCCCATCTCACCTGCACATAATCTCGTGGGTAAGCAGTACTCGGCACATTTCGGGGTTCTTGTCCTGACCTTCATAGATGATAGCCTAGGGGAAGGGAAGTGCGCAGGCTGGAGAGGAAGGAAGCTCCTTTCAAGTCCAGTGTCAGTCTACTTATGGCATCTCCCCGCCCATTTGGAGGACAGATTCTGCCCCTAGAGAAAATAATGTCCTCTGCCTTGCTTTAGGGAAGCCCAGGGGTACAAAGCAGGACTTTGGAGAACACGCCCCCCAAACCAGGACCACCACAGGGCAGGGGGGCAAGGTCTGTAGATTCTGTTTGTCTGCAGACAGCTCTTTCTTAAGCTTGCTCTGCTTGGAGGATGGGGGGGATCCCCGGGCAACTAAGACCAAGGTCAGGCTGGGGAGGGTCCTCAGCCTGAGGCACGCTCCTCCCCTCACCCTCAGCATCCTCCCTGGGCAAGCTGTTCCCAAGCTCCTAGCGGCCCTCTGCCCTTGCTCATAAATGCTGCCATCTCAGCCATCCCTGCTAACTGAGCAAACAGTTCTCACATCCCTAGTATCCCCCCAGTGCAGTCGAGTGTCTCCCCCTTGGACAGTTGAGTTGGCCATTTCCCTAGTCTCCCAGCCTCCTTCCCTGAGCAGGGAAGACTTCCTAAACTGCAAATCTGGCTTACCAGTCAGTCTAGAACCCTCTGGGCCTCCCAACCTTCCTCCATTTGTGGGATCACTTTCTCTCTGAACTTCTCTGAAACCCTTCTTCACACAACCCTCACACAGTCCCATTTTGTCACTGCCTTGCTTGCTTCCCCCACCACAGTGACCATAGGCTGTCTGGATACAGCCATTTCTTCCTCTGTCTTGGGATCAGGTGGAAGCCCCAACCTTTGTGGGAAAGCCCAAGCCTCCACCAGCAACTGCTTTCTGGGCTCACTGATCTAGTCAAGTCCTTCCTGACCAGCATGCAAAGCCCTGAGACTTGAGCCCTGCCTTGTGGAATCTGCCAGAGCTTATCTAGGTTTCAGTTTCTGGGGGCTATTTATGCTGGCCTCAAGGCTCCTTCCTTCAGCCAGGTGCTGAGTGGTGCAGTGGAAGCTCCTGGGCTGCTCCCAGATCCCTTTACTAAACCGGTGCACCCATCCCCCAGCTGCGGTTAGTGTGGGCTGAGGGGTTCCTCTTGAGAATTGCTTCGGGCTGATGGGAGCCGCCTCTCCTTTACCCATAAGGGGAGCAGCGCCCAGCCAATGACTGACAGATACAGGTGCAGAATCTTAACCTCCTCGCTCCAGGAGTGTGTGTGGCGGGGAGTGGATTCAGTGCCATTCCTTCTCTAGCACTCTGTTGATCAGGCTAAGGCTACAGTCTGCTTGAGACCATTTGTGTGCTGAATATCTTCCTGTCTAGCTCCCATCTCCTATGAGATTCCTCTTGTCTCCCCATTAACTACATGCACTTGGATTCCCATCTCAGGCTGGGCTGCTAGAGAATATGACCTAAGGCAAGGTCTGTACAAATACTGACTTTTCAAGACTGGAAGGCAAGAGCCCAATCCTCCTGCTGTAGATGGGGGTGGGATTTGGGGGAGCTAGACCCATGGGGCTGAAGGGCACTCAGGAGACCAGGGTAGAGGTTAGGGTGTTGGTTCAGACCAAGGAGAGATGGGTCCAAGAAGAGGACAGGACAGGCCTGAGTGTCCCCTGGGCTGGCTCACCTGCTTGGACATGGAGTCGATGAGACGCACATAGAGGTCTTGCTCTGTCCGAAGCCCTAGGGTGGGAAGGTGGACAGCACTTGCTATCAGGGGAGCACCTGGGACCTCTAATGACCACCCATGCCCACACCCTTCCCAGCCCTGATGAGGGGGCATTATGTGTAGCACTGTGCAGCAGTACTCAGTCTTCAGGGTCAGGCCCAGCAGGGGCAGTGGCCTTGGCTTACCATTGTTATATACCAGCCGGAGGCGATAATGGATTCCATTGTTTGTCTTTTCTGCTCCAGGTTCCTGTGGGGACAAGACAGAAGGATACTCAGGTGCTGGAGATCCTCCAGCCTCTTTCCCCCCACTTCAGCCTTTCACACACCCTTGTCTACTCCTTCATGATCCATCCACTCACTCATATGCCCCATTGTGTGTGTGTGTGTGTGTGTGTCTGTGTATGTACAAGCATGTGTCCCCCTCCTATCCCTCCCAGCACCAGTGCCAAGCAAGCCCACGAGCCTCTCACTCGGTCCTTTTCCACGAAGTCGATGAATGCTGTGCGCTCCACCTCCACGGGCTGCCCCTGCCGGTCGTACATGGCCAGCACAAAATGGAAGAAGTTGGATTTCCTGAGGTTGGAGGGGGGCTGCTTCTCAAAATGTGCTCGTGCCAGGCCCACACCACTGTGGAAGGAAAGGAGCTAGAAAACCATCGGAAGGATCCTTGGGTGAGAAAGACCCCAGAGCCTCTGGCCAGGTAGGTGGGCTGGCCAGGACTTAGCTCCAACATGTCAAGGGTTTGGGCAAGAAATCAAAGTGGCTGGGTTCTAGAAACCACCCACCTAGCCATCTCGGTCTCAGAGGTATGCCATCCCAGCCTGTTCCCTTGGGAACAAGGGACCTAGCAGGTCTACATCATGGCATCCTATCAAGCTCCCACCCACATTTTGAAAGACTTATCTTCAAAATCAAATGCATAAACTAGTTCATCTTACTGACCAGAGGCTTCTGGGACTGCCTGTTAGGGTATGGAGAAAGACCAGGGAGGCTCAGGAATAAATTTCCCATTGAACCTCAGTCCATAGCTGAAGACTGCGTGAGCCTGTGGCACTGCCTGGGAAATGATGATTCCATCAGACTACAGAGACATCAGACTGACTACAGGCCACTAGTGTGCCCAGCCTGGACCCTGGGCTGCAGCTGAAGGCAGTGGACACCCTCCTTACGGATTTTTCACAGTGCACTTACATAAGGCTTCTGTTGTGAATGGCAGTTTGGCCTAGAAATGCCAGGTACCTCTATTATAAAGAAAGGGTCTATAACCAAGAGAGATTATATAAAGGTGCAAATTTCCAATGATGAATGTCATTAGGGGTAGGGGTAGTGGGGGGTCAGGGGAAAGGAAAGAAGGGAAAGGAAAAATGATGAGAAATGGAAAAAATGGAAACAAAGTCTTTGTAAATAGGGAAGGGTGGAGTGGGTGAAGGGAGGGCTAGGAATGGGAAAAAAATAAGAACCAAGATGCATCGAGTAAAGGTACAAGTTCCCAATGAGAAATGTAAATGTGTTGTATACCTAAAATGTACCAATAAAAGAATTTAAGTAATTTTTAAAAAAGAAAGGGTCTATAGAGGTCTGAATGTCTTACTAATATGAACTCTTTGTTGAAAGCCTAAACTGACTTTCCAGATTTGTTTTACCTGAAGTGCACAGCCTAAGATATTTCTTGGCACTCAGTGCCCCTTAGAAATGAATGGGGGTGTATGACCTAAGGTGTAGATTGAAACTGCAACCAATTAGAACTCCCAGTGTTTGGGTGTGAACAAGATACAGGGAATGGAGTCTGGCTATACTCTCTGGAGTGGCTGCCAGCTGTGATAAGTAATTTTCTGAGTGCACCTATACAAGGCTTCTATTGTAAATGGCAGTTTGGCCTAGAAAGTGCCATGCAGCTCTGTTGCAAAGAAAAGGCCTGGGGAGCTCTGAGTGATTCACTAACACTAACTCTTTCTTAGAAGCCTAAGTGACTTTCCAGAATGGCTCTGCTGTATTATCTGAAGATTCCAGACAAAGATACTCCGTGCCATTGGTGCCCCATAGAAGTGAATAAGTGTATGATCTGAGGTGTGGTTCATAACTGCAACCAGCTAGAGCTCACAGTGTTTGTGTAAAAACTACAACAGTGAATGCAGTCTGGCTGTACTCACTGTAATGTGTACCTAGGTATAGAGGGACCTGTTTCATCAGAACCATTCCCAGAGGCAAGGCCAAGGAGAGCAGGAGGAAGAGAAGAACCAAAGCTCCCTTAACCAGGTGTTTCTTGAGCTGCAATGGAGTACCAAGCTCTGGGCATATGCAACAGGTGAGGCTTGGGTTAAATGTGGGAAGGGGAAGGAATACTCAGAGAGAGTTGGGACACAGGACAAAATGGGATCAAAAGATGTCACCATGAAAAAAAAAAGATGTCACCATGCAAAAAACTAAAGGAGCAAAGGAGGACAAAATTAATTCTTTTTTGTAAGAGATAGGGGAAGATTTCCTAGACACGATGGCTTTTTTCCTGGTCCTTGAGGCATATGTAGGAGCTCTACAGGTGAAGGAGGCAAAGGGTAGAACATACAGTCTAAGAACATACAGCCACAGATTTCAAAAAGTGAAACAAGAACCAGGTATAGTGTGGTGCCTGTAGTCCTAAGTACTTGGGAGGCTGAGGCAGGAGTATCACTTGAGCTCACCACTTGGAGATTGGTGAGCAACACAAAGAGATCAGCTTAAGCTACACAAAGAGATCCCTTCTAAAAAAAACAGTGTAAAGTTTGCTTTGGAATTTCCTGCCAGGTCATACAAGGACACAAACCCTATGGAAGAAGCTTAAACTTTCTTCTCTAGGCCAGGGTCTTCCAAAGCCTGTTTTTCAGTTGGCTCATGGCTTTAGATTCCCCTTTTAGAAAGAATGTTATGGCTGCAATTGTTGGGACATTTGGCTTTGTAGCATTCATGGGAGTCTTTGGGGGCCTTGGGACACTATCTAGAAATGGACCTGCTTGAGTTCAGGCTGGTGCTCCCCATGTGTTAGGTAGCTAGGTCCAGGATGGTTCCCAAGGATCCCTACCTCCTGGGAGTCATGCCCCGGGGGAGTCCCCTCTCATAACCTATCAGGATTTGTCTGTGTGGCCAACAGAATACATTAGAAGTGACAGCATATAAGTTCCAAACCTAGATCATGAAAGTATTGCAGCTTTTGCCTTGTTCTTTCTCTTGGATCATCATTCAGGGAAAGCCAGCTGCTACCTTGGGAGGACATGCAAACTGCCCTATGGCAAGGTTCATTCAGAGAACTGAGCCTTTGCCCAACAGCCAGCACTAACTTGCCAGCAGATCCTCTAGGCTTAGTCAAGTCTGCAGATGACTCCAGCTCCTGCAGCCTCAGGACAGGAGTTGAAGTCAGAACCACCCCACTGAGCTACTCCCTGATTTCTGATTCTTAGCAATTGCATGAAACAAATAAGTATTGGTTGTTTTAAGCTGCTGTGTCTGGGCTAATTACTTTATGAAGTAATAGAAATGAATGCCCCCACTTACTCTGTTACAGGACACTTTTATTTTTATTTATTTTATTTTATTTTATTGGTACTGGGGATCGAACTCGGGTCCTTGCGCTTGCTGGGCAGGTGGCAGAATCACTGAGCTAAATCCCTGGCCCACAGGACACTTTTATTGAGGAATGCATTTGCGAAAAATGACTAAAGGTCACTAGACAGCTCTGAAGCCAGGCAGAGGTTGGGAAGATGCTGCAGGTGAGCAGGACTCAGTGGAGTAGACATATGAGAGGCTGCGGCAGGGATGCGGGAGAGAGGATGGGGATGGTGGTACTGTCTACCCTGACAGCCAGGAAGGGCTAGCATCCCCAGTGCTCACTGGGGGCATGACACTGTGACAGTGGCTGCCAAGTTCATCACTTCTTAGTGTGTGTCTCTATAATTCACAGTCAACTTACTCTTTTCCTTGACTTCACACTAAGCCATAGTATCTGAGATGTCATGAGTGTGAAGGGCTTGCTAAGTTTTTACTCATACAGACTACAATAAATAACAAAAAGAATATCATTCCACCTCCTGAAAGCATGCTTGGGAGCCACAGTGGCCACATACAGTGAAGGGTCTTCTGTCCCCAGATCAAGATGAGGGGGCAACATTCTTCCCTACCAAAAGTTCCTTTTTCCAGGGGCGTCATCCTCCCTCCCTTCTTCCCCATTTCCTCCCCCTTAGGCTGCCATTGTTTCAAGTGGGGGCCTTGACCAGCCCCTCCATCGCTTCTCTAACCAGCTGAGAGGTAGGGAAGCCCTAAGAGGGCTTTCGATCTCAGCAGGTCCCTGATTACTGTTGATGAATATGCTAATGAGGCACCAACCCTGAGCTGCTCCCTGCTCCCGGAGCCAGCTTAGCTTGAACTCCACCAGAGAGAGGCTCTAGCACCACATAGAGAAAAAGAAGCCCAAAGGGGTGGTCTTATGGTGCAACCCCAGGTCACTGCTGTCCTTAATTCTGGTATTCTGAGCCTAGAAGGCTCTCAGACCTTGGGGAAGGAGAGTACAGAGAAAGAAAGGCCTTGGTAGAGGAGGGCTGGATACTGAGGAACAACAGGAGCCTTTAGACAATTCAGAATGCACTTTCTACGCAGATGTCCTTGCAGTGCCCAGACCAAATGCCACATTGGTGCAGTCAGTCAGCCTTGCTGGCCTGAGCTTCCTCTCCTACCCAACCACCTCCCTTGGGCAAATATCAGTCAGTCCTGAGTCCTGGCTGGCCCCAGCTCCTGCCTGGCTCTTGAGGACCAGACCTGGGATGTCTGGCCTAAGTTTCAAGCCAAACTCCTTTCATTGGGCCCATCCTTTCCAAGGGAGAGGATTTCTGGGGAGAGATGGCAAAGGGACCATGGGAGGGGAGCAAAACAGGTTCCTTTGGGTCCTATGGACCAATATGCAGCGCTGCCAGCTGGGATCATGGAGGGGCTGTGCCATGTCACAGGCCTGTACCCTTCCCCACAGTGGGGTTGGTTGCACCCAGCTTTCCTTCCCAAAGCACACAACCCCCAGAGATCAGACGCACAATCACCCTCTCAGGTTCACTAGAATCCAGGGGACAGTATTGACTAGGTTACGTCTCCAGGACAGGATCACTATCAAGGACAACCACAGAGCTATATTAATAACTGCCCCTACCCCCTTCAGCCCAGGGTGACTGTAGAATGGGGAAGACCCTGCTGACCATACAGGCTGCTCCTTGGCTGGGAAGGTCTTCAGCTGACCTTGTCCATGCCCCTGCTGCACTTGTGAGGAGATCAAGGTAAAATGAGACAGGGTTTTTCTCTAAGGACAGTCTAGTGTTTCCTATAAGAGACAGAGTGACACCAGGCACAACCTGAGGGGAGGAACAGGAAGCAAGAGGAAACAAGCAGGCTGGACTGTACCTTCCTTCCCTGGTTGCTCCCAAGGGCTCTCCACCCCCTGCTGCAGTAGGTGACTGATCAACACCTGTTGAATGGAACTGGAGGTCCCAAAGGACACGGTTGAGGAGGAGAAAGAAGAGATGTTTGCTTTTCTTCCCTTGGGAGAGGCTGATGCTTTTGTGGTGAGAAAACAAACCAAGATGAAAGAACAGAAAGAAAGAAACAGATAGGCACAG